AGAGAGAGAGAGAGAGAGAGAGAGAGAGAGAGAGAGAGAGAGAGAGAGAGAATAAAATAAGTGGCACAAAGGCATGACCCTCATTTGGTCACTTTTGATACAAGAATCAGATCCTGCAGATGCCTCTTGGTGCACTATTTTTCCACTAATTTAAACCTATGTTTTTAACTGCTTAAGTTCCATTTTTGTTCTTTAAAATTTTGCTGGCTGCCTTGAGTCCTTGTCAAAGTTGAAAGTGGAATAAATCAAACGCATTCATTCGTTAAAACAACAACTTGGGGGCCGTGTTTGCAGAAGGGGCTTTGAGAGGCCACAAATGACTTGGGTTGTAACTGGTGCCATCTGAGGTGGGATGTCAGAGAGTCCCAACAGGCTAAGATGACCTCCAGTAACCCTCAGGAGGTACAGGGCTACTTCAGCAGATGTAGCAACCAGATGCCTCAGCTGTCATCCAGCAACTGCTACCTGTCACATTGTAAAGAAAAGAAAAGGAAGCAGAAATACTCCTTGAGGCTCCATTGAGCCTCCATTGAGCTTCCTCAAGTTGTTCCAGAACAACTTCAAAAATTGGTCCCTACTTTCATTTTTTTGCCTTTCCTCCCTTTTTTTTTTCATTTTTTCTTATGCATTGTAGGATGTGAGACTGAGGAGAGAGACTTGCTGCTGTGGGCCAAACTAAGATATTCCAGATAAAAGAGTACAGGTAGTCCTTGCTTAACAACCGTTCATTCAGCAACCATTGAAAATTACAGAGGGATTGAACGAATGGTAATTATGCCTGGTCCCTTAAATTACAGCTGTTGCAGCATCCCTGTGGTAATGTGATCAAAATTCAAGCACTTGGCAGCCCGCCCGCACTTACGACTCAGGGGCACTTCAACGCCCCCCCACCTATCTCCCCCCTCCTCTCTGCCCTTTCGGCCGCTTTGCATTCTGCCACCTCTGCTGGCCCTGCCATCCTGTGCTCCACTGCCCCAGCTGACCTTTGCCATCTTCTTGCTCCCTCTGCTGATGAAGCACGCCCAGCCTGGCCCTTCGCGAGGCAACTGCTGGCTACACACAGCCTTCTTCCTGAGGTCACATGTGGCAATTTCCTTGCACACCCTCCCACCCTCAGCAGCAGCCACCCCAGCCCAGCACCCTGACAGGGAATGATTTCCTTTAAAGCACGGCAAAAGTGGCTCAATTTAATTCCTTCAGCCATAAGTATTTAAACTAGAACCTTGTTCCAATTTCAGGAAAGCAAAGTTATTGTCTACTAGAGATTTTCAGCAGTGGAGGAAAGAGATGAATAACAGAGGTAAAAAGCCACCGAAGAGATATGAGAAAGGGTGCATCTGAGGCAGGGATGACCACAGGATGTGGTCAAAAAAGTCAAGATGGCAACCATGGCGGGGCAATTGAAGCTCTTCCATCTTGATTGTTTTCATCACACCCTGTGGATACCCCCAATCTGAGAGAATGGTCAAGAGCAGGCAGAGAGAAAGAAAGGCGGGCTAGCCTCGGTCTGGGCACACTAGGAAGTATGGCTGGCTCTGGAACATCCGTGCCCATAACTCCTAAGAGGCATGAACATAAGTCCTCCTCTCTCCCCAAATTTATGTTGGCAGAGATGGACTTTTTTTACCTGGCTTGATGCTGCCCAGCACTGCCCGGGATGATTTGTACACAGCCTCGTAGACAGCCTTCTGGTCAGGAGTGAATTTTCCACTTGCTGGAAAGGTGCAGGTGATGTCTGAACCGTAGCAATAATACTCTCCTCCCATGTCAAAGAGGCTGCAGAGAAGAAAGGAAAAAAAACACACTGTTTGGGTCTGGATCTGACTGCAGCATTATCCCAAAGCTGCCTGCACAGCATGGCAGATTGGAGATGTCATCAAAAAAGGCTCCACTGTAAAGATGAAGCCAGAAGAGAGGACAAGGATCTACTAGTCCCATCTTCTGCAATCTGCCGGTGTCCACACTTTGAGGCAGGCCAGCTCAAGGAGTAGATGTTGTAGGATTCCAGGGATCCCAGAAATACCTCTTTATTGCTACAGGATACAATAACAGACTTTTGAAAGCCTGTCAGAGTGTGTCTCTGCCTGTTATATCAAACAGAAATGGAGGCCTAGCTGTTCTGAGCCTCCCGCTCATGCTTTCCAGGACTAAGCCGTTGCCTCTCCCCATTGAATGGTCCCTTCAGCCCTTCCCCAAGGCCACCTCTGCCTTCTTCTGCAGCTGGAAGGCCAATTCAGCCATCCTTGAGAGGTGGCCATCCAGTGTCTTCCCCAAAACATCCAGAGATGGAGAACCTCTAACGGTCTATAGGAAGGCTGTTCATTGGCTGTGTTTTCATAACTTAACCTGGTTACTGAATTAACCCATTTTTCTGGATATGGACTATAAAGTATCCAAGCAGGCTGGTTCACACGATATACTAAGCTACAAAAAGCAACCGAATGCATTTTGTGAATGCAGCTGCTATGTCTTTAATGTCGTTAAGAATGTTGTGGGAACTCAGCTATTCCAATGCAGTCCATTCCTCATCTCCATACTTTTAATGTCATGATTAGGAAACAAAACGTTGCTGAGGAATAGAACTGCAGTGGGATCTTCCAAAAGCAAGCTCTACCTACAGCCCGATTAAGAAAAGGAAAAACCGGCTCTCCGGTCTGGCCACCCTGAAGCCACTTCACTGTGCCACCTGAACTTGGGTGCCTGCAGGCCAGGTTTAACATGTGTTTGTTTGCTCAGGAAAACATTCTTTTCTCTCAGCTGCGCTCTTAACTGACAGAACGCCTTGCCCAGTCTGGGTCACAAAATGCCTGTGATTTGACTCTCTTGACAGAAACCCAAACTCCCCGCTTCTTTTGCAAAGCTAAGCCCCACAAGAGAGCTGAAGGTCCACCGTCACCACTGCCCCTGCCCCCTTAAGAGGCTCCCTTGCACCTCCATCCCCCATGGGGAATTCTTGCCAGTGCCAAAGGAGGAGGAGAACAAATGACTCCCACAATCTGGATGGGACTAGACAGGAAGGGCTGTCAATCCCAGCTTGCTGTGAAATTCACTGGGTGTCTTTGGGCCAGTCAGTGTCTCAGGTGACCCCATTTCATAGGATGGTTGGCTAAGGAAGGGGCAGGGAGCACTCTGGGCCCCTTGGAGGAGCAATGCAGAGGCAAAATCAACCAAAGAAGCAAAAACACCCTCTTTTCCCAGTAGGTCTGTTTCAATATAAAACCAACCCCAGCACAGGAGAGAGGAGCAGTTGCTGATCTGGCCCAATCTGTAGTAATGCTTGGACCGAAAGCGGCACACAGCCTCTCTGCCCAAGGTCCGGGGATCCTGGCCAACTGTTTTGGAAGGCAGGGGCCCACCAGCCCCTGCGGGCTTCCTTGTTACCGTACGCTGGGCATTAGAAGGATCCGAGAGAGGTTTATGTGGTGATTCAACTGGGGACACCCCCAAGTATCCATGGTACTCCAAGAACTGTACTCCAAAAGGGGGAAGAGGGCTGAGAGTTGAAATGGGTGCCCCATTTGCTCCGTCCAGTGCCCTCCAACCCTCACATGCCAAAAAAGGCCAGCACCTTTGGCCCTCTCTTTCTCTGGGCTACCCCTGCTCCCCAACACAACCCATATAACCACCAGAAGGACCCTTTTGCAGACAGGCTGGCACCAGCAAAGATCTTCCTGAATTCTGGACCCTTGGTCAGGCAGAAGTTGCAAACACCAGAGTTGTGTGCTACACTAAGCCGTACCTTGCTTAAGCCACAATTAGCTAGGATCAGAGCCATAATCATGGTTTATAATCCATAATAACTGGGATACACTGTATACTAACCAAGTTCCAAAGAGACTGGCTTTGGAGCTTACTGTATTGTGTGAACCCAATCTACAGTATGTCTGATGGTTCTATTCAGCTCAGCTTGAACCACTGTCTACTGACTCAGAAAATCAGCTGTACCACCGAGGTGACTGTTTCCAATGGTATTCAGGTGGGATGCCCAACTTGTTATCTTCAATGCCACACTGTTGCCACTACTACAAATTCCAGCTAGAATGGCAACTTGCCTGTGGCCATTTCAAGACCAGAGGGTGCCAAACTGGAAAGGACTGGTGGACACCTTTGGCTTTCATGCCAATATTTCAGCAGCCAAGAGTGACCCACATGCATTTGACCTCCACTGTTTAGTTATTTCCCACTTGTATTCATGTTCTATGCAAATGCATGTGTGGTGTGGAACTCCAGCTTATGAAACTCCTGCAACTCTTGATCTGTCAGTCTTTGAGGTGTCACGAGGGTCTGCTGGTTTTGCTGCAAGCAAGCAACGTGGTCATCCTGCGAGAATTCTTTGTGTAGCAGATGGACAGTTACTTAAAAAATGAAACCTATGTTGAAATACTGCATGATCAGAAAATGCTAGGAAGCCAATTGGGGGTATTGTATCAATGACATTAAATCATTCCAGGCACTTGCAGTAGCCGGCCTGGGAGTGGCAACCAGTTTGGCCAATCTTTCCCCTGGACATCTGTGCTGGAGTCCTAGCACCCGGCTAGAACATTTTGCTCCCGGTGCACTGATCAAACAATTGGAGATTAAAGTAACAGGGCAAAAGTCACTCTTTTGATGATTGCCTTTTACTGTAAATAGCACCATGCCTACCCCGTGTATGCAAAAGGTCATCGCTTCCATTTCTGCCATGAGCGAGAGAGACGGCACACAAAGCGCTGAGTTCCATTCCTAGAACACTGAATGAGTTGTCTTTGGCGCTGGATCAAGCTACTGACGTGCTGCGACTTAACTATCCAGCTTCCAAAGGCAAAGGTGCTTGCTGAGCTCCTGAAACCAAGGAGGAGACACTCTAAATGAGCCTCTTTCCACCACCATTCAGAACAGGAACCAGACATCTGGTCCCCAGGGAAGGTTGGTTTCACAAGCCAACTTTCAGCCAACTGGGAAAATAAGTCTGCCTTTCAGAGACAATCTCAGACCACATCCAAGCTTTCCGTACCCTCGACTCCAATGGCCTTTGCTCCTAAACTGGAAGTTCCTTGCAAAATCAAATGGCCTTTGGGCTCAGCCCTTTCCAAGCCATCCACTATGGGACGTAATTACAAGCCTCTGGAAGCCCAGGCTGGGGCTGGACCTTTTTAGCAGCCATCGCTCTGGACGCTCCTCCTTTCAGTTAGGCTCAAAGAGATGAGACACGTTGAGTTGCATCTACGTTGGTTGGAAGCAATACATCACTTTTATGTCCTCATCCTATCAGTGAACTGCTGTGGAAACATTGGGGGAGGGGAACTTTTAAGAGAAAAAAACTCTTAACACTCCCCAAAAGGAACATTTGGGGGTCTAACAGTAAAGTGTAGAGTAAGGGGCAGTTCATGAGGGCTAAAATTCCAAGGGGCTGTGGGGAAAGCTTGAACTCCACAGTGCAAATCCAAACCCAGGGTTGTCTTTGCAGACAGACAATTACACTGGGCACGCTGAACAGGGAGAGGATGTTTTGACATTTGACAAAAGGTGCCGTGAATATGGTGTGTTGGGGGGGGGGCAAGCCTAGTGAGGATTACTGAGAAGTGTTCCCCAGCCTAAGAAATGATCCTAGAGAGTGATGCATGTTATCCTTTTGAAGGATCGGTGGAGAGAGAGAATCAGGCACTGGGGGCCAGCTTCTCCTGCATGCTGGACCTGGAAACTTGGACCTGAAAAGCCCCTGAAAAAAATCTGTGTTTTCTGTGTTATGCAATACTTTATTCAATTCCAGGCATCCACACCTTTTAACATATCTTTATCATTCCTTCATAAATCTCTAAAATACTTGTTCCAGCATTCCCTCATTTCAGTTTGATCCCAAATCATTTCATTGCTTTTATTTTCAATTCCATTCACTCTTCCAGAGAGCCCTTGTTTAGCCTCTTCCAAAACAATTCTTTATTTCTATCCAAATTGCTCTGCAGCCTGGTGGATTTGCAATTGAAGAACTGCTGCCCAGGGGTGCTTGTTAACGGCTCTGCATTTCCCTGGAGTGAAATACTGAGTCCCCCAGGGCTCAGTCCTTAATGCAGTGCTATTCAACACCTTTATAAATAAACTAGAGGATGGAATGGAATGGGTCCTTATCAAATTTGCAGATGATATCAAGCTAGGATTAGCTAATACCTTACAGAACAGCAGAGGACTTGCCCTCACTGGGCGGACGGTGAAGGGGGCTGGATGGCCTGCAAGGGATGGATTGACAGCTGTGCATGTTGTTGGACAAGATGACCTAGTAGGTGGCATCCAAGCTGTACAGTAATGGGCTGTTCTCCTAGCCAGCTTGCACCTGGATTCTGATCCTTTCTGCCTTGGCTGCAGAATTCCCAGGCACTGGAGGTTAATTTTTAATGCTGGGGGGGGGGGGGAAGCTGCAGTTTGGGAGCCATTTGATTGGCAGGAGGGGACCTTCAGCTGTCTTGGGCAGATTCAGATGCTCATCCCCTTTTACCCTCAACCTCTCAACAAGCAAAGGCTCCTTCCTGACACCTACCCCACATTTCAGGTTTCAGAATGGTTCTGGAAGCAGGTAAGGTGGGCGCTTGGCAACAGCGCGGTAAGCTTTCCCCATCTACAGCAGAAAAGTGGAAATGCACTAAGGGAACCTTCTGAGCTGTGCCACAAGCTTGGCTATTTGGGCAGGCGGTAGTTCCTGATGGTTTCACACCTTCCCAGATTCAGCAATGGGGAACATCTGACTGCAGAGACGGTGTTTGAATCTGGAGAGTCTGCAGGACAGCAAGGGCTGCTGTTCCATC